CCCCCCCCCCCTTTGTTTTTAAATGTATATCTTAAGATTAAGAAAACAGTTTCTGTAATTATAAAACGAATTTGTAAATTTTTCCTTTAAAATATGTCCTTAATGACCTTATAGCTGTAGATAGGACGTGAAAACCTATACAACCAACCAACCAACCTTAAAATTTCCGGAACTTTTATACCGCATTTCCGGTTCTAGATGTATAGGCAACATACGTGTTCGGGCGGGAAAAAGAAAGAACGAACTCTTGTTAACAAGGATGTGTCTGCGCCTTAATTATCATATCTTAAATTCGCACGGTGAGTAATTTGTGTAACAGTGTTGTTAGTATCCGTTTTATCTTCCATTAAACAGACTCGAACTTTGTATTGACAGGAATCAATATTTAAAATGCTGTCTTACTTTTACTTTACTTCACTAGAAAACGAAAGTATTTGATACCTCTGTCCCTAGTACTTGTCAGCTCTTAATAACATGCCCTTATACTTGATATCAGCAAACTATCATTAGACAGTGTTCATTTTAGCTGCCACAACCATGTGTTTTAATTGTAAGCCCAACATTTTTCAAATTCGCGGGCATGTGCAAGGCTACTTCTAGTACTAATGCACTGACAGACCAGCTTGATTTGTACATCTCGGAAACTAATACCAATATAGGAAAAATTGTCTGTCCCTTTCACAGTTGAAATTGATCCCTATACAATACCACACACCTAGCACCTAGAGCGTCAAAGTTATTTTGTTGACACTCTTTTTAGTCTAATATAGAAGAAAACAAAACTTTGTCACAAATCTCCCTAGTTAGTCCCCCATCATTTTCCGTGGGGAACTATAGGTTTGTACTCCATCATTCCGTCCTTCCGTCTGAGAAGTTTGTCTGTAATAATAATAATAATTTGAGGTTCTTATATACCGTTTTATCACAACCTAGTTCGTAGGTCATTTCAAAGCGGTTCACAAATTAATATCCGTGGTTATAGGGCCTTTGTAACCAGCCAATACTTTTCTCAACTCCCTGGGGAGCAACCAGCCGGAGCTGCCATTTCGGCGCTAACAGCTAACATTCAACAATTCTAGCACTGCCCAACCACATACTCATTTACAGCTGAGTAGACTGGAACAAGCGGTGTAAAGTATCTTGCTAAAAAATACAACACATTGCCATGCCGTGGCGCGAACCCGATACACTGAGCCACAATACGATACATATTGCGATACACCACTCACAATACGATACATCTTTAATTCTTTATTAATTTGATATACAGTTTGGTGTGGCAGCCATATTGGAATGTCCTTAATGATATTAAAACTTCTTACAAAGCTTTTGGAATTAACAATACAATTTTATATCATGCATGACATTCATTTGTTTTAATTATTATATAACATGTAGTGTACCAAAATATGTCAACATAGTGAAAATACTGTCATAAATTTGAACTCTTGAACTCTAAATTAGCTTTCCGGACATAATGCTTTCTATGGGACAGAATATCAAGTCTATCTTTTCCCCCCCAAAATATCTATCAGTCACCACCTATTCCATATTCTAATGGAGAGTTAGGTTGTTCAATTCTACTTCATATTTGTATTTTATTTTCAAATATGAGGTGGAGATGTCTTATAATAAACATGTTTTAAAGGGACATCACTGTGAAGCATATTTTTTATGTCTTTTTTTTCAAATATTACATAAACATATCAAGTGAGTCGCCTTATGGAAAATAACGATAAGATTTTGCTAATATATATTCTTAGAAATGAATAATTTTAAGATAATTATCAGGATTTCTACCTGTCTGACCAACGTTTTGTTTCAAGGATTTCCCTGTGTAACGCATACATGTGCATGGCACGCCATTTCATTGTAAAGAAAATGATTGGCCGTGGGAAGTTAGCGAGTACTGCATCAACTACGAAGCGAAAAATTGCCAAATGGTCAAAAGAATAGCACAGATTATGTTACGGAAGTATTATTGCAGGTGGGAAGTATTCAAAGGAGAAAATAACTGCCCTAGCAGGTAGGTATAGCAGTGTACAGTAGCGTACAATGGCCATGGGTGATATTTTTATACAATGAATAACCCCTGTAATTTAACATGTATCAACATTTAAAAAAAAATCAGCACTAAAATTGGCATATACATGATGAAGTGGACTATGTGGGCTTCATAATTTAAGAAAAAAAATTGAATTTGGTTTGAGACAACAGTTTTGGGCATTTACAAATCTGTGTCTACACAACAAAAGCTAGCTTTTCATGTAGTCTATTTTTGTACTCAGCACATGTGTAAATATTGTGAAAAATCCAACGGAATGACCTATGCTAAAACGTGAGTATTTCTTACAAGTAGGCAGTATTTAATTTCAGACGGGTTTTAAGAAAATAGTTACTGCTTGCAGGGGTCTAATTTTGGGTTAAAAATCTTTTTTTTGTGTGCATATTTTGGTGTTTTTTGATGTGTTTTTTGGTGTTTTTTGACTATGGTTTTCACAAGTCCCAAATCTGGGGGAAACAGTTTTTGAAAAAAAAATCAGTCTTCTTAACAAAATGAAATCAAAATGTAGTTTATAAATATGTATATATATGTAGGTGTGTTGTGCATGTTGAATTAACTATCCATGTTTATTTGAGACATGCCCTTTATTTTTAGGGTCAAGCCATTTCTACTGTTCACTAGTTGCTACCCTATACACATAGACATTTAATGTTTCTGAAATAATGCCTTTTTATGCTTGATTCAGCTTCACTTTCATTCATTATTACTTAAAACTACACAAAAACTTTAAAAAAAAGTTACATATAAAGGTCAATATATAGGTCACCTGTGGGATGTATAAAGGGGGGTAACTCATCTTTTTAACAGGCACTTCACAATTCATCATATATGTGTAATTGGTAAAGTTGATACCAAACAATAAATAATTCACAGGCTATTTCCTGATGCATTCAGACTAGATTTCAGTCTGTTTTACTTAGTTCAGCACCCGGTATCCATGGTAACTAATACATAAAGTTGTATTTATTGAAAATGGGTAAAATATCTGTTTTCATTCTAATTACGCTATTTTATATGTTTTTTTTCCACTTAATTCAGCATATAGATAAAATTAGCAAAGTCAATCATGTCAATACATTTTATTTCCATAATTACAGCTGAAGATTTTTTTTTTCCTAGTGAAATATGTTAAATTAAAAACTTCTTGGGTCACTGTCAATTCTAGGCAGGAAAGGAAACAACGGTGTTGTCATTTGTCTGATATTTGAAAATATCTGACATTTTTGTTTTGTTCATCGGTTACGGGAAGTGTGTCTGTTGCTAGTTTGTTGTGATGGCTTCCTGGTATTCATTTTGATATCAGTGAGCCTCGATAATGTCATAGATGCCCATTGATGACGTCATAGTTATGATGACATCACAGTATCTATGAAGTCATCAAACAAGACAGAAACATCATAGTATCACTGTAATGTTTTGTTTTTCACATGCATATGTTCTTCAAGCATCATATCGCACCTCATGAAAATGAAACTTTATTCATGAAAACTACAAACCTATACAAGTTTTCAATTTTCAAATTACCTCCCTTTGTTGATAGTTTGAGAGCAGAATTGGTAAAATTTCACCTCTGAGAAGAATTCATATTACTCGGTCACTATTGAAGGGAGAAAGGAAACTGATACATCGTTTTGTTTATTATGTCATTTTCCAGACATTTAAAAGGTTTTAATGAAATTTTTGGGAAAAGAAAGTGATGTATAAGGTAGCAATGTGCAGGTTGAATTCACTATCCATGTTTATCTGAGACATGCCCTTTATTTTTAGGGTCAAGCCATTTCTACTGTACACTGCTACCTTTGTACTGTGCATGTATTCCTCCGGATAGCCGGTATCAAGCTGAAATGGAATCCACAGAAATGCTGTTTATGTTATGAATAAATATTTTATAATATCAACCTCGCTAGTATCTTTGTCTAAGCTGGAACATAGATGAACTTATTTTGTTATGTTCATGGACAGGTATCAGAAAGAATTTACGTTGCATTTCTATATACGGTAGTTTATGTGAAAGTAAGAGATAAGTGACTGGTTAGTTTGACTTTACTATGGGGCCCTCCAAGGGATAACTGTTGTACTGTGATGTCGTATACTCTCCTCTAGATTTGTCGGTACTCGGGGTCAAATAAAATATGTGCACAATTAGATTTACATAATTTATCATATTCCCGGTTCAGTAAAATGGTATGATTTAATTATATTGCGTATAATTATAAGTACGATTTTTTTTTATTCACATGCAAGATTTAAATTTATCAAAATGACAGTTCAACCTTTTTAATTGTAATGTTTCAATAGTTCATGTTTCCACATGATGTTGACTTAGAATGTATGATCATGCAACAACTTTTGTCAATAAATAAGTATGTCTCCCCTTTTAAACCGTTAAAGATATCTTGATGAAACTTTAGGTATGCATGCATCACCCACAGGAGGTGTGCAGTACACTGAAATTAGGTCACTGTGACCTTCACCTCAAGGTCAAAGGTCAAATAAGTGTACATTTTCAGTAAATTCTTGTCCGGCCTGTACATTTCTAACCGTTAAAGATATCTTAATCAAACTTGAAGTATACCTGCATCACCCACAGAAAGTGTGCAGTGCACTGGAACTAGGTCTCGTGCCCCATTATATACAGAGTTATGGCCCTTTGTTTAATTTTAATGCCGAAGTTTGTCCAGAGCATAAGTTCTATGTTATTTCACCTACGTTGACCATACTTACCATATTGATGTATCTTGGGAAGGCGGAATTTCTCACACTAAAATCAGATTTTATGCCCCCACTATATACAGAGTTATGGACCTTTGTTTATTTTTAATACCGAAGTTTGTCCATGGCATAACTTCAAAACTATTAAAGATATCTTAATCAAGCTTGGAAGTATTCCTGCATCACTCACAGAAGGTGTGCAGTGCACTGGAATAAGGTCGTGCATCACTATATACAGAGTTATGGCCCTTTGTTTATTTTTAATACCGATGTTTGTCCACGGCATAACTTCCATGTTATTAGGGCCCGCATCGAAGATGCAGGTGCCCTATACTAATTCATCCGTCCGTACATCACAATCAAACAAGGTATCAACTGACTAAATATCAAGGTAACTGGGTCAAAGGTCAAGTTCAAATTTTGTATCTTTTTCCTGATGAACATTATGTTATGACATTATGAAGCAAAGTTGGTTGGAATTTAACAAAGAGTCAATTGACTTAAGGTCAAGGTCACTGGGTC